GGCTGCGGACACCATGCCCAGCTAATTGTATATATATAATATATTAGTTTGGCATAATTCTTTCTATTAACAGTAGAGACGGGGGTCTCAAACTTCTTGCCTCAGGCTGGTTTCAAACTCCTGACCTCAAGCGTTCCTCCGCCTCGGGCCTCCCCAGCAGTGCTAGGATGACAGGCGTGAGCCACCGAGGCCACGTTCCTGACTTTTTATTTCAAGCAGTGCCCACACCTGCCTCTGGGACTTCGGGCCCACTTGCCCTCTGCAGCGTGGTGGCGGGTGGCGCACTCTCGGCATGGGGGAGTCTTCCTGCTGTGGGGGCCCGTTTCGGTTGCTGGGTTCTTATCTCACGCGTGAGACCCCGCACCTGCCTTCTCTCCCGTGTCAGCCCGGCCACCTGCGTTCCTTCCTCCCCACCCCTCGGCCTTTCATGGGATCAGGCCACTAGAGTAGGGGAATTGAACTCACGCCTGGCCCGCACTGTGAGGCCGGAGGGGAGGGATTCAGCTCGGGTCAGGAGTTTGAGACCAACCTGAGCAAGAGCGAGACCCCGCTCTATAAAAATGAAATAAATAAATAAAGGTAGGAAATCAAGGATTAGCACCATCAGAGAATATTAGGGATGGGTGCTTCTAAATCTCCCGAAATTCTGAAACTGTTACAATGTCCCTTTCAAATGGGAGGGTGACGTTTGTGTGGTTTTTGGAAGTCGTTGTCTGTGCGGCTGTGCTAACGCAGGAGAAACAGGTTGCAGCCGAGACCCAGGTGCAGGGCTGGTCCTGCCTGCTTAGTATGGGGACCTGGTTTTGGAAACAACGGCTGCTCTTTTCCCCCCCTGGAGCCGGCTCGCCCGAGCAGATGGCTCTGCGGCAGCTGGAGTCCGGCCCTTCCCTGCTCCCACCCCAGGCCCTTTCCCTTTCTCTGCGAGACAGCCAGAGGGGCCGGGCTGGGCGAGGAGCTACCTGCTTCTCGGGCTGCTGAAGCTTTGCCGTGGCAGCACGTGTAATTTCCTTCCTCCTGTCCCTCCGCGCCAGGGAGGGGGCCGGACCACTCCTGCTTAATTAGCAGCCAGAAACGAGGCCAGCCCGGTGCTGTCTGGGAGTGAGCAGAGTAAACAGAGGTGTCCCCAGGGGAGACCTTGGAGAGCCGGCCCGTGGCGGAGTGCAAGCAGGCCTGGGCCCCTGGACTCGGAAGGGAAGGGACCATTAGGTGCCACCTGTCTGGCAGCCGCCCCGGGTTGCGAGGACATTGCCCAGATCTGTGGCGTGGCCGGGGCGGTGGCGTTGGGATTGGCTGGACGTGGAAGGGGCTTGGGGAAATAGTTTCTCAATGACACGTGCAGCAGCAGCAGTTGAGCAGATTTGAAAGGGAAGGAAAAAGAATAATAAGACCCGCTGTTGTCAGACATATGTCGAGAAGTAGTAGTTTATAAGAATTCAGGGAAGGGGCTGGGCGCGGTGGCTCACGCCTGTAATCCCAGCTCCGAGGTGGGAGGATCGCTTGAGTCCGGGAGTTTGAGACCAGCCTGGACAACGTAGTGAGACCCTGTCTCTACCAGTCAGAAAATTTTTAAAAAAATTAGCCGGGCGTGGTGATGAGCACCTGTAGTCCCAGCTACTCGGGAGGCTGAGGTAGGAGGATGGCTTGAGCCCAGGAGTAGGAGGTTGCAGTGAGCTGTGAGGGCGCCACTGCACTCCAGCCCGAGCGACAGAACCAGTCTCCAAAAAAAAAAAAAAATTTCAGGAGGTGCCTGCCAGCCACACAGCTGCTGGCACCTAACAAGCCACAAGCTTATTAGGTCAGTTTTCCCCTCCCTCCCCCCACCTTTCCCCTTTCCAGCCTTAATACCCAGCCAGTTCTTTGCCTCAGTGGCCCTTGACCAGACCGGCTACCTGCATGGTGTTTTTGAATGGTCTCTTTCTCCCGATGTTGAGTTTCCTTGTCTGTTTTCATCGTACAATGAATAAACAAAGCGGTGCCGGCATCCCGACGGCAGGGCTAGCTAGTCCTCCCAGGGCTCAGAGACGCTAGTCTGGGCCTGGTAGATCTTCGTGTCCTCGAAAGCCCGCGGCAGGCACGTAGCGCTCAGTGAGTGTCCGCCAACCCGGATGTATTGAATTAATTAATCACAGCGAATATTCACATTAATTAAGGTGTCGATTCCAGTACAGCGTGGTGATTGAGGGCTCGGGCCCTGGCTTCAGGCCTAGGCTCAAACCCTGCGGGACTCTGGGCGTGTTCCTTGGTCTCTCTGAACCTCAGTTTTCCTCTTCTGGGAATGGGGGTCACAGCATGTTCCCTGGGAGGGCTGTTGTGGTGCCTCCTGAGTGGGAGTGCGTGCCCAGCGTGTGCGGCACGCGTGACCTGCGGGAAGAAGACGGTAGTCCCCGCGCTTCACACGCGGTAGATTTCCTTTATCCCTGGCAGTGGCGGGTGAAGCCACGTTTCTCAAAGCGGGATCCCCAGGGCACCTTAGTCCAGGTATGTCAGGTGTCTGGGACCCACCACCCCCGTGGACTGAGCAGCAGAACCTGCGGGGCAGGTGGCACAGGGGCCCACCTGCTCCCTGGGTTATGTGCACCAAGCCACCTTGCTCAGAGCACAGCCCCAGCGGGGTTGACAGTCACGACAGCCAGCACCTCTCCAGCTCTGCTTGGGCCCGGCTCTGGGCCACGTTCCGTCTCAGTCACCTCCCAAAGCCACGTGGTCGGTGCCCACATCCTCACTTGCGAGACGAGGAAAGGGAGGCCCCCAGGGCGGCCGTGGCCGAGCGGAGGCTGCACAGCTGGGAAGTGGTGGCGATGGCGCCAGGGTTGAGACCCAGGTCCGGGCCGCTTTTGGAGGCCACTCCCCGAGCGCCTCCACAGCCCGAACCGGACGGCGTTCCCGGCCTCTCTGTCGTGACCTGTGGTTGCAAAGAGAGAAAGAGGGAGAGGGGGGAGGAGAGGAGAAAGAAGGGAAGCTTTTAGGAATTCTGTTTATAAAGAAGGAAGAGGAGAGGGGGAGAGAAAGAAAGGTTTTAGGACTTGTATTTGTTAGAAAAGAAGAAAGGAAAGGGAAGAAAGGAAAAAACATAACGTGCAATAATGCACAACGCGACAGAAGACGCCCTTTTGCCTTCCTGTGTCCCCCTCAGCAGCTCAGTTCCTGTTCTCTTTTACTCCGTTTCACTTAAAATGCAGGCTCAAACCGGCGGCGACGGCGGTGGCTCCACACGCTGTGGTCCAGCACTCTGGGAAGGCAGACCGACGGGCGGGGTGTGATTGTTGCCTTCTGAGGTCAGGAGTTGCAAACCACGCCTGAGCAAGAGCGGACTCCCGTCTCTATTGTAAAATAGAGAGAAATTACTTGGCCATCTTAATATAGTATAGAAAAATCTACGCCGGCCGCATGGTGGCAGTGCCTGTAGTCCCAGACTACTCGGGAGGCTGAGGCGGGAGGATGGCTTGTGCCCAGGAGTTGGAGGGTTGCTGTGAGCTAGGCTCGACGCCACGGCCTCACTCTAGCGGCTGGGCAACAGAGTGAGACTCTGTCTCAAAAAAAAATAAATAAAACTAAAATAAAATGAAATGGCTGGCCGCGACGGGGCTGCGGTGGCTCCGCTGTGCTCTTTAACCTTTGGGGAGGCTGAGCGGGAGGGCATGGCTTGGCCAGGAGTAGGAGGTTGCAGTGAGCTGCCTGTGCTCTTAACCCTTTGGGAGGCTGAGGCGGGAGGATCGCTTGAGGCCAGGAGTAGGAGGTTGCAGTGAGCCTGCCTGTGCTCTTAACCCTTTGGGAGGCTGAGGCGGGAGGATCGCTTGAGGCCGGGAGTAGGAGGTTGGCAGTGAGCGCCTGTGCTCTTAAACCCTTTGGAGAGGCCTGAGGCAGGGAGGACTCGCTTGAGCCAGGAGTGAACGGAGGTTGCAGTCGAGCTGCGATTGCGGACGACTGTGGCTCCAGCTGGACAACGCGGAGAGGAGGACCCGCCACCCCACCACTTCAGAATAAAGGTAAGACACCCGCTGACGCGCCTCCCCCGCCGCAGGTGTACCGCCGGGCCGACCACGCGGGCACGGTGCTGCAGCGGCTCAACGAGCAGCGCCTGCGCGGCCTCTTCTGCGACGTGGTGCTGGTGGCGGACGAGCAGCGGGTGCCGGCCCACCGCAACCTGCTGGCCGTGTGCAGCGACTACTTCAACTCCATGTTCACGCTGGGCATGCGGGAGGCCTTCCAGAAGGAGGTGCAGCTGGTGGGCGCCTCCTACGCGGGGCTCAAGGCGGTGGTGGACTTCCTGTACGGCGGCGACCTGGCGCTGGACGGCGGCAACATCGACTACGTGCTGGAGACGGCGCACCTGCTGCAGGTCTGGACGGTGGTGGACTTCTGCTGCGACTACCTGGAGCAGGAGGTGAGCGAGGACAACTACCTGTACCTGCAGGAGCTGGCCTCCATCTACAGCCTCAAGCGGCTGGACGCCTTCATCGACGGCTTCGTGCTGGGCCGCTTCGGCACGCTGTCCTTCACGCCCGACTTCCTGCAGAGCGTGTCCCTGCAGAAGCTGTGCGCCTACCTGGCCAGCAGCGAGGTGCAGCGGGAGTGCGAGCACGACCTGCTGCAGGCGGCGCTGCAGTGGCTCACGCAGCAGCCCGGGCGGGAGGCCCACGCCCGCCAGGTGCTGGAGAACATCCACTTCCCGCTCATCCCCAAGAACGACCTGCTGCACCGCGTGAAGCCCGCCGTGTGCGCGCTGCTGCCCCGGGAGGCGGGCTGCGGGGGCTTCATCGAGGAGGCCGTGCGCTACCACAACAGCCTGGCGGCCCAGCCCGTCCTGCAGACCGCGCGCACGGCGCTGCGCACCAACGAGGAGCGCCTGCTGTTCGTGGGCGGCGAGGTCTCCGAGCGGTGTCTGGAGCTCAGCGACGACACCTGCTACCTGGACGCCAGGAGCGAGCAGTGGGTCAAGGAGACGCCCCTGCCGGCCCGGCGGAGCCACCACTGCGTCGCCGTGCTGGGCGGCTTCATCTTTGTCGCGGGCGGCAGCTTCTCCCGGGACAACGGAGGGGACGCGGCCTCCAGTCTTCTTTATAGGTATGACCCCCGCTGTAAACAGTGGATCAAGGTGAGATTAAAGCCGGATTCTTTCTTTACTCTTGAGGCCTCTCTCGCCGCCCCCCCAAACCTAAGCCTTGACTTGACCTCCCCTTCCTCCTCTCGGGCCGCGCCCGGCCTGCTTGGGCGCCGGGCCTGGCGGCAGAGGTCGCGACTCCCGCCCTCCCCCTCCCCCTCCTGCTCCCCCTTCCCCGGGACACACCTGGCCAGGGGTGGCAGGGCCGGTCCCCCGTGGAGCTGTCTCTCCGCAGGGCGGGGAGCGTCCCAGGTTCCCGCCATCCGATGATGGAAGCCACCAGCCGCACATGGCTGTGGAGCCCTTGAAGTGCGGCCGGTGCCGTTCCCGACTTTATTTCATTTTAACTGATTGGCGCATAAATGGCCGCCGCGCTGGGCTCGTGGCTGCAGCGTCCGACAGCACCGGTCGAGAGGTTCGAGCCGTCGTTCGAACAGTGTCCTCCCCCCGTGTCTCGGGGTCTCCACTGGGCCCCCCTCTCCTGGAGAGGCTCTGGGAGCTAGAATCGCTCAAGGGGGCCGCAGGGGCTCGCAGCCGGCCCGCGGGCGGGCGGGCGGGCGGCCTGACTCTGGGAGGAGCGGGGACCCACCCGACCTCAGGCGTGAGGTCGCGTCCGTGCCGGAGCTGCGGGATCCCGGGGCCTTGCCCTCTCCCGGTGTCAGGCTCTTCCCCTGGGAGAGCGTGCGGCACGTGGCCTAGAGTCCGGGGCGGTGAGGCTCACGCCCGGCCGTCTCGGTCTTCACACGCGCACCTCGCTGCTGTTTTTCACTTCATCGGTGTTTTTCTGAGCTCAAAACTCGGTCGCAATGGAGTCCAGGTGCCCTTTGGATTTTATTCCCCCAAATCTAAACCCTCCCTCCGAGCTCTGAGTCTCGGCACCAGAGTGAGCCCGTCCTCCTCCCGGGCTCCTCCTCCCGGGCTCCGGCGCAGCGGCCGCCACAGGCCGGGCCTCCCGCGGGACCGTGTCCGCAGTGTGTGCTGCTTGGGTTCGTTTAAAAAAAAAAAAAAAAGTTGGGTTTTCCACTTTTTGATTTCTCATGAATGCCACTTTCTGCTCTGTTGACACGGGTGGCGATCAGCATTTAACTTTTTAAGAATGTCTTGGCCGGGCGCGGTGGCTCACGCCTGTCATCCTAGCACTCTGGGAGGCCACGGCGGGAGGATCGCTCAAGGTCAGGAGTTCCAGACCAGCCTGAGCAAGACCAAGGCCGCATCTCTACTAAAAATAGAAAGAAATTATCTGGACAACTAAAAAATATATATATATATGTATATATATATATCAAAACTTAGGTGGGCATGGCGGCTCACATGCCTGTAGTCCCAGCTATTCGGGAGGCTGAGGCAGGAGGATCGCTCGAGCCCAGGAGTCTGAGGTTGCTGTGAACTAGGCTGACGCCACGGCTCTCACTCTAGCCCAGGCAACAAGAGTGAGACTCTGTCTCAGAAAAAAAAACAAAAAACTTTAAAAAAATATCTGATGGGGGACGGGGAAATATGAATTTTTGTTTGAGCAATTGTGAACCTCACATCCCGCGGAATTCTAGTCCGCAGGGTTGGCCCTGTGACTGGGCATGTCCGGGGAGCTGTGTGTCTCCATCCCCCTCCTGGGGGTGCAGGGTGTCTCGGGAAACCCCCAGGGGCTCTGAGAAGTCCCCCCGGAAGGACCCCCGTTTGCTCCAGTGTCACTGCCCCTCCCCCCCCCACGCCGGCCTGGCCGCCGCCCCGCCCTCCCGGGCCTGGGGGTCAGCAGACCCACGTGGGAGAGCGCGCGGTGCCCGGCGCCACCTGGGTGGGGGACGGGAAGGCACAGGTGTCTCCTCTCCGCAGGTGGCCTCCATGAACCAGCGCCGCGTGGATTTCTACCTCGCCTCCATCGAAGACATGCTGGTGGCCGTCGGGGGCCGGAACGAGAACGGAGCGCTGTCGTCGGTAGAGACGTACAGTCCCAAGACGGACTCCTGGTCCTATGTGGCCGGCCTGCCCAGGTGACCGGGGTGGGCTCCGTGGCAGGCTGTTCTGGGGGGGGGCGTTGTTTTCCGGGGGACGGAGTTCACTTCCCGTCCGCTGCACTCCCTGGGCATGTCGGCCTCCCAGCCCAGGGAAAAGGTCTCCTGGCTCATCGGCCGAGGGTCGTTAGGAGAGGCTGGGGGGGCCGTGGCGGTGAAGAGCCACCTCTGGCTTCAGACCGAATGCAAGAGCTGCCTCTGCCACCAAGCTGCACCCACAGCTGCCCAGTCTGTCCCGTTCCCTGACGCCCGAGGGTGCATGCCGGGCGCAGATGGGGCGGTTGACCCCAGGGTCTCCCCGAGTTTGGGGACAGACGCCCAAAGTGGTGGGGCGTGTCTGTCCCAGACCTAAGACATAGAGAGAGTGTCTGCAGCCCGCACATGCTTGACTTCCCCCTCTGTAGCGCGGGGCGGTAGGAACCGCTGCCCCAGAGCACTTGCAGGAAGCCCTGGCATGGCTCCGTGCACACAGGGTGTGCTCCGGGCTCAGTGGCTCTTGCTCTCCCCGGTCCTCCCGTCCTCCCGGTGTGCATTGATTGAGCGTCTGTTGCCGCCACGGGAGTAGCGGGAGGTGCGTGCCATTTATCTGACGGGCTCCCTGTTGCTGCCCCCGAAAGCACGCTTCCTGAACCGCTCGTGCTGCGGGACACATGCAGGAGTCTTGAGGACTTTGTCCCCAAGAGTTAGAAGAGTGTACGGGGTAAGCGCCCGTGTTTTGAAGTCGTGGTCGAGGCGAGAATCCCAGCTCCTCCGATTCCCGGATGACTACCGTGTTTCCCTGAAAATAAGACGGGGTATTACGTTTCTTTTTCCTCAAGAAGACACCCCAGGGCTTATTCTCAGGGAATGCGTTATTTTTTTTAAGTGCAGTACAACCATCTACACTTATTCAAATACAGTCAAGTCGTCGTGTTCTGGAACATCATCATCGCTCTCCAAACCCCGAATTCCATCCTGAATTTCTTGCGACTCTATTTCCTTTAGAACCCTTGGCCCCAGTCTGTCTTGTCGAGCCATAGAGCTCTCACGGGGCGGATAAGAAGGGCTGCTCGTCTCCTTTCCCGCTCCACGACGACATGCACGGGTCGTGCAGACACGCTGCGTAGCCACGCCCGTCACTAGGTCTCATTTTCGGGGTGGGGCTTCTATTGCGCACATGCTTAGAAATCCTGCCAGGGCTTATCTTATGGGTAGGGCTTATTTTCGGGGAAACACGGTACCTTCCCAGAGAGGTTCCAGGAGGCCGGTGGATTAATGCCATGACACCTGTTATTAGATGATTTGACGGTCTTCATAGTAGCTGCTGATTGCTGTGTGACCCTGGCCAGGTGCTTTATGTAATGTCCCTTGATACCACAGTCACCTGCTGGGGCAGGCGTGGGCCGTCTCTGTAACTTACCCTCTGACCCAGGAGGCCAGTGGGTGGGGCGGGGCAGTGGTGTGGATTCTGGCCACGTCCCAGGCTACCCAGGGCCCGTGATCTCCCTACACCCAGGTGCCATCCCATTTCATAGATGGGCAAGTGAAGCTTCATGACAGTGCCAAGAACGTCCGCTGTCGTCCCTTTCTCTGGGCCAGCCCTGTGATCGATGTGCCTTAAACACCACAACAACCGTGCTATTATATTGTCTTTCTAAAGGGATTGTAGGAGGCCATGCGTGGTGGCTCACGCCTGTAATCCTAGCACTCTGGGAGGCCAAGCTGGGGGGGGTCGCTCAAGGTCAGGAGTTTGAAACCAGCCTGAGCAAGAGCGAGACCCCATCCCTACTAAAGATAGACAGAAATTAATTGGCCAATTAATATATATTTATAGAAAATATCAGCCAGACATGGTGGTGCATGCCTGTAGTCCCAGCTACTCGGGAGGCTGAGGCAGGAGGATTGCTTGAGCCCCAGGAGTTGGAGGTTGCTATGAGCCAGGCTGATGCCACGGCACTCTCGCTCGGGCAACAGGGTGAGACTCTGTCTCAAACAAATAATCATAAATAAAATAAAAGCATTGTAGGAGTTGGAACACACACACAATCCATGATGCTGTCGTCCTGAGTGCATGCATGTCCCACGTTTGTTTGATTCGCTTACTCGTATCTTTTTTCATTTATTGGCTTGTTTGTACGTTGGGGCCTCCATGAACCCACGGCCCAGCCCCGGAGCCCGGACATTGAAGGGTCGCTCTGTCCGCCCTGGGAGTGTGCTTCTGTGATGGCAGCTTCAAATGCTTTGCCCTCCTGTCCCCTGCCTCCCAGCTAAGCAACCACTACCCTGAATTTCATGACAGTGTTCCATTGGCTTTTTAACCCTTGTTTGCACTCCGCCCCCCTCTTTCAATAGACGTCAGTTTTTACAGCAGTTTTGGGTTTGCAGAAAATGGAGCGGAAGTACAGAGAGTTCCTGTTACTAACTTGCGTTGCGTGGTGTGCTACAAGTGTCGCTGCAGTTTGTTACAATGATGAACAGTAGTGATACATTATTATTTGTTTTGAGACAGAGTCTCCTCTGTTGCTTGGCTAGATGCCCTGGAGTAGCCTCGTCACAGCAACCTCGAACTCCTAGGCTCAAGGATCCTCCTGCCTCAGCCTCCCGAGTAGCTGGGCTACAGGCATGGCACCATGCGAGCTAATTTTTCTATATATTTTTAGTTGGCCAATTAACTTCTTTCTATTTCGGTAGGACGGGGTCTGCTCTTGCTCAGGCTGGCTCTCGAACTCTGACCTTGACGTGGACTCTCGCCACCTCAGCCTCAAGAGCCAGGATAGGATGACAAGGCGTGAGCCTGACCAACCCGCCGGCGATACATTATTATTTACTAAAGTCCCTGGTTTACATCAGGGTTCACGCTGTTGCATGGTTCTGTGGCGTTGGAACATAATGATATTGACAAAAATGCAACACGATGCCAAACCCACTTCCTACGAGTCGTCCACCCTCACACCGAATCAGTTTTGATGGCGGTCACCCAAAGAAATCTTGCCGTCCCGTTCACCCACTGATGTCGCCCTGGCACCACTGTATTTATTTTAAGAGCTGCGTTAGTTCCCATTCCCAAAGATTGTCACACCGCAGCATGGGCTATTTCCGTAGCCTCCCACCCGCCACCATAGTCCGCCTCGATACAGATACAGGCATGGTCACTCGCGTGCCTGAATCGCTACAGCAATGCATCCCCCACTAGTATGTCAACGGCTGTTCAGTCCGCAAATTTCTCCATTCCCTAGGTGTGATACGGCCACCTCGCCTTCCAAACATCCTCATTTATGTAAAATATCCACGAAATAACCTATCGAATCTGAGAACAGTGAGAGAAAGTGAATGATTGATTTATAAGAGAAAGTGGCAAGGAGCTGGGGTTCGTGACCACTCCTCGTCGGCCGTTGAGCGTAGCTAAAGGCTGGCGCCCTTCTAAGCACTGCCTCCGGCACCGATCCCTGTCCTCTCGCGCATTATGAACAGGCGCAGTTCCCCCTAAAAGTTTGGCATGCCCGAATCCTTTCTTGGCACTGGGCTCGCCAACCTCGCTCGTGCTCGCCGCACTGCTGCTGCATCGCTACCCTCCTCAGCCAGGACTGAGGGCCCGACGACTGCGAGGGAGACTGGCAGCCCGTCGTTGTGGAGCTGAAGGATGGCCATGCTGGAGCCCAGGCTGATGCCCTGTCCGCGCTCTCCAGGAATTTTGGATCCCCGCCCGTCGTTCTCTCGCAGGTTCACGTACGGCCACGCGGGCACCATCTACAAGGACTTCGTGTACATCTCGGGGGGCCACGACTACCAGATCGGCCGTACCGCAAGGAACCTGCTGTGCTACGACCACCGATTAATATTGAAACAAGAACACGTGGTAAATAAATACTGAGAGTTGGAAAAGGACGACCGCGTCTGAGACCACATGATTTACCTACGACGCGATTACTGGCTGCACAGACATGTGCTGCTCTAAGCATCATCTCGGGCGAATGTCATATTACTCCATTCGGGGCTACGACGCAACGTGTGCAATAGTTCACTGTGAGCGCCTATCCGCATCTAGTGGTGTCTCAGCGTCTGTCGATGCCTACAGCCCGCCCACGAGTTGCAAATCAAATCACCTACTGCGGTCAGTCTGACGTGGGCACCAGTGTGCTTGATCTGCTAACTTTCCTATACTATCGGATAGAATGCGGGCGTTGAGCCGTTAATAAATGATGCAATAAGACACAGTGAAACTGCATGGTTAAACTTAAAGTGATCTCTGTATCCCTTACAGTATAGCACAAAAAAACTTTATATGTTCTTCCAGTATTCAGAAACACCTACCATTTCAGCACAGTATTATCACACATTGCCAAAATAATCCTTACTTGTCTTGTTTCACTTGGCGTTACTCTATTAAAAAAAAGTAAAATGGTTAAATTCCGAAACATTCATTTCTCATCAACTGGCCGGTCTAAGACTAGCGTGACCGACAGGCAACCCGCATGTTCTCCAAGACCGTGCATGACAGTGTTTTCTTAATTAAAACACAAAGATAACACAACCGTTCTTGAGAACAATACCAGACGTTATTATGATAAAGAACCTCAGAGGCCATACAAGTGGAATCATAGGTGGCGTTCGAGTATACCTGCCCATAAGGACCACAATCGCGGCTGGAAGGAATCAGCCTCGTCTGCTGGCCCCTGAAGCGCAGCGTCGATACATTATTGAGGACAAGAACGATACACAAGGCAAGAGTGCAAGCGGCACCAGACGGGGCCAGTGACCTGGTGGGGTCACCAGCCGGCAGCCCGTTATAATGAAGATGAGCTCACACAGCAACCTGTATATATTACACCACTTCTCAGTTGCACATCAATCCGGAAGAGACATACATATGGCTCTCCTCGGGACATTTTCCACATGAAATAAAAATCATTGCCATCAAATTTACGTAAGCTAGCTTTCATCTTATCTTTTTTTTTATTCATATCTACTAATCATACTGTTAATCTATGCCTAATTCTTTCATCATTCTCAGAAATCAATTTATTCCTATAAATAATTCACATACCATATCGTGACCGATTAAACATGACGTGGAACTTTGCATATCTTGCCTGAGTAATTAAAACCCCGGGCCCAGGCAGCGAAGAACCTTCACCCTCCGTCCTCCCTGGGCCTGTCCCCCCTCACCGTCCCCCCAGGCGGTCGCCGGCACCACGGGCGACGTGAAGACGTGTGCAGCGATAAACAGAGCCTCGACGCCCGGTGCAAGCCGCCCCAGACCCGGCGGAGCTTTTAAAAGTAACAGGTTCCCCGGGAGCCGAGGTGCAGCCAGTTCTTGGGGTCCAGAGCGTCAGCGCGTCTGGGAACCGCTGGCGAGGTCGGGTGTGTTTTATAAGTGAGGGCGCGGAGACGCTGCCCCCCAAGAGGGTGAGTGAGTGGCCGGGGGTCACGCCGCTCCCTGGCAGGTGAGACGCGGGGACTCCCTCCCTGCCCAGGACGCTGTTCCCAGGGGTCCGTGTCAGGTGAACGTCGATCCGAATGACCCCAGTGTTCCCGGGTCGGTGATCTTCCCGAATTCTAATAAAGGTCATAGGTAGCCAAGAAAGAAAGAAAAAAGACATGAAGCTCTTTATAAATGTTATTCTGTAATTTGTGCTTTTTTTTTTTTACCCTCTTTTGTTGTTTTTGTTTTGTTTTGTTTTTTTCCTGAGCACGCTGTCTCTTATAGCGCTGATGTACCTGCCGAGCTCCCAAATGTATGTTCCTTTTCAAGGAAGGACAAGTGAGCACCACGGAATTTGCTGTTGTTTTCCATGAGCCTCTCTCTGAGATGCCGTTGAAGGCTCCTGCTCAGATGAGCGCCTGTTGGTCCCTAAGAAGGTCGCTGGCCGTCTCCCCGACTCCAGCAGTGGGTCCTGGTCCCAGTCATGGATGGCTAGAGTGAGGAGAGAATGTCTGGGCTCCCGTCAGGGCAGAGGGGCTTTCTAGATAAGCGTGCTGGGCCCCCCTTTCCAGATGGGTAACGCCCCGTACCGACTCCTCGGCAGAGTTCCTAGAACGGCTGTCGCTATTGCATGACCTTAGCTGTCGCCGCGGTCCCACGCCGGGTGCAACGCAGAGTCCCTGGGAGGGTAGGACTGGGATCAGTTTCAGTCTCGAGCCAGGGAAAGCATGAACGATCTGGACCTCGGCAAAGATCTGATTGCAGAGGCGAGAAGACGGCAAGATGTTTGTTGATGTGGATGTTAGAATGAGACAATCTCGGTGAGCACCGATTCCCGTTTCTTTTGCGTGTTTGCTACACTTCCTTGCCGTGTCTTTTCAAGGCTGGCTGTGGTTTTCATGGGTCTGTGTTTGCAGTTATCCAGGAGAGATGAGGAGCGGTTTGGGGTTGAAAGCTTCAAGCCTAGTTCCCACCCTCTCTCTCCTGCTGGTTAGGTGCGCAGTCTACCTGTTTAGCTAGTTACTTGCAGTGCAAGCTCTAGAGCTGCAAAATGTTGAGAGGTTCTGCAAAGCATACAAACAAACAAAAAGCTGTAAACTCTCCTTGGACCCTATAACAACACTCCAGCATGTTAAAGGCTTGAGAAGTCCTGCATTCATTGTAAGCCTTCCATCAACCTGGTATTTCCAAACTTCTTGGAGCCTGAAACTCTTTTTTTTGTCTCATTGTCTAGTCCAAGGGTCCTCAAACTTTTTAAACAGGGGGCCAGTTCACTGTCCCTCAGACCACTAGAGGGCCGGACTATAGTTTAAAAAAAAAAAAAAAAACTATGAACAAATTCCTACGCATACTGCACATATCTTATTTTGAAGCCAAAAAACAAACGGGCAAAAACACCCACATGTGGCCTGTGGCCGTGGGCTGTAGTTTGAGGACGCCTGGTTCTAGTCCCAGAACTCCACAAAACAAGTTTTTTTGTTTGTTTTGTTTTGGTTTTTTTTGAGAAGAGTCTCGCTTTCTTGCCTAGGCTAGAGTGAGTGCCGTGGTGTCAGCCTAGCTCACAGCAACCTCAAACTCCTGGGCTCAAGCGATCCTCCTGCCTCAGCCTCCCGAGTAGCTGGGACTACAGGCACGAGCCACCATGCCCGGCTGATTTTATATTATATAATTAGTTGGCCAATTATTTCTTTCTATTTTTATGGTAGAGACGGGGTCTCGCTCAGGCTGGTTTTGAACTCCTGACCTTGAGCAATCCGCCCGCCTCGGCCTCCCAGAGTCCTAGGATTAACAGGCGTGAGCCACCGC